TTCTGGACTTTTTGTTCAAAGTAGGAAAGTATGAAAATAAAGATGTGATCTGTTGTTTATTATTTCAACCCATTTAATTTTGGTCTAGGCAAGAAAAACAACTTCCTTTGACTTTTAGAGTGAAAATCAGTTAATATGATAACATACATAAGAAGTGAAAAGAAGACTAAATTGTTGATTCTTTTATCATGGAATCACGAATATTCTGCATTTTAATAAAATATAAGACTACTGCTTTGATAGAGAAACTTATGAACAAGCTTTTTGAAATCTAAAAACTACATGTTAGCATTGTTAGATTGGTTTCATCCTTGTATCTGCTCTTTATTAGCTTTCTGCTTGTTCTAATTATGGCTATTTCCCTGTGACAGGTTAGACTTCTGACATAGAATCTAAAATGAACATATTGAATATGGAGAAAGTCAGCTTTAATTCTTTAAGGACAGGAACTTTATCTTGTGGGGTTTATGTAAAAAAAAATTGTTTTTTTTTAGTAGTATTGGGACTACCTAAGGTAATACTCATTTTAATCTGGCTAAACATAAAAACTTCTCTGCTATAGTATGTACCATGCTTTATACCTACAACCAGCAGGGTCCCCTTGTTCTAAGGATTCCAAATCAGCATTTAGAGGAAACTTTTTTTCCCCAGAAGTCAAGAAGCTTGACTTAAATGGCTGTTGCTTCTTTGACACTCTGGTTCTTACTCTCTGGAATTCTTTTGATTTTTTATTGAGATACACTTCACAAAATTCAGTGGTTTTTAGGTTATTCCTCAAGTTGAGCAATATTACCACTGTCTAATTACAAAACATTCCTATCATTCCAATAAGAAACATCATGCCCATTAGTAGTCACTGCTCATTCCTCCCTCTGCTCCTAGTTTTTGGCAACTACCAACACACTTTCTGTCTCTATGGATTTGCCTATTCTGGATATTTCATATAAATGAAGTTACACAGATGTGGTCTTTTGTGCCTGGTTTCTTTCACTTAACATGTTTTTAAGGTTTATCTATGTTATAGATTGTATTGGTACTTAATTCCTTTTTATGGCTGAATAATATTCCATTGCATATTCCACATTTTGTTTATCCATTCATCAGTTGATGGACCTTTGGGTTGTTTCTGCTTTTGGCTATTATGAAAAATGCTGTGTGAACATTTGTGTATAAGTTTTTATTTAAACATGTTTTCATTTCTCTTTGGTATATGCTCAGGAATATTATTCCTGGATTGTATGGTAACTCTGTTTAACTTTTTGAAGGACTATCAAACTGTCTTCCATAGTGGTGGCTCAATTTTACATTGCCAGAATTTCTCTACATCCTCAACAATACATGTTATTTTCATTTTTTAAATTATAGCTATCCCAGTGGACATGAAGATATATCTCTTTGGGGTTTTGATTTGCATTTCCCTAATGACTATTAGTGTTTAGCATCATTTCATGTACTTATTGGCTACTTGAATATCTTCTTTGGAGAAATGTCTATTCAAGCCCTTTACCCATTTTAAAAATTGAGTTGTCTTTTTGTTGTAAGAGTTCTTTTTGTATTCTGCATACTAGACCCTTATATATATGATTTATAAATATTTTCTCCCATTCTTTAGGTTGTCCTTTTACTTTCTTGATAATGTCCTTTCATGCTCAAAGGTTTAAAATTTTGGTGAAGTTCAATTTATCTTTTTTTTTCTTTTTTTGCTTGTACTTTTGGTGTCGTATCTCAGAATCTGTTGCCAATTCCGAGGTCATGAAGATTTACCTCTATGTTTTCTTCTAAGAGTTTTATGGTTTAGCTGTTATAGTTAGATCATTAATCTCTTTTGAATTCATTTTTATATATGATGTGAGCTAGTGGTCCAAATGTATTCTTTTGCATGTGTATATCCAGTTGTCTCAGCATCATTTAATGAAAAAAGGATTCTTTCTCAATGAATGGTCTTGGCACCCTTTTCAAAAATCAATTGACATTGATACATGGGTTTATTTCTGGACCCTCAGTTCTTTTCCATGGATCTAAATGTTTATCCTTATGTCAGTTCCAGACTGCTTTAATCACTGTAGCTTTGTGGTAGTTTTGAAATCAGGAAGTGTAAGTCTTCCAACTTTATTCTTTTTCAAGATTGTCATGTAAAATTAACTTTTTGAGAAGTCCTTTAGTAAAAAAATTGTTTGGCTTTAATTCTCTGTTTCTCACGTGTTTATGATGATGAAATTGCTTTTTCATATAATAGTTAATAACATCCCATGGGACTAATATTTAGTGTGATACATGTTTTGAGAAAGGTTGAAGCAAGTATGAGTGGAATATTTTCTTTGATTTGTCTTAATATTTCAACAATATAGGTAGGAATTGATTGACTTAAAGTCATGTTTAGGTTTGAATGGCTTAATTCATTCTAATGATCTTTTGTTGTCATAATATAATTTTGTTGAGTAAATAATAATACCAGCACCATATATCCTCATTAACCTTAATACCTTTGCTTTTGTTGTTCTTGAAAAGAACTTTTTAATATGGTAAATTTCAATCATACATGAAAGTAGAGTGAATACTATAATAAGCTCCATGTGACTATCACTCATCAACACCTATCAACTAATGGCCAATATTATTTCATGAATACCAACCTTCCTACTTGTTAACCCCAGCTGGATTATTTTAAAGCAAATCCATATAATTTCATCCCTGAACACTTTAGTATGTATTTAAAAAATATTGCAGTTTTTAAAAAATACCAGTTATTATTATACCTAAAAAAGTAATAATCTCTTAGTATCATCAAATATCTAAATTTCCTCATTTCCAGTTTTTTCGAATGTCTTTAGTTTTCAGACTAAACTATGAATATTTACTGGTTTTATCTTTCAGTGGAGTGTCTTATTTCAAAATATTCTAGTAGTTTAGGACATAAATGTCAGATTGTACTTTCAAAGAGGTTATGCTATATGTGCTAACTTAAAGTATCATTTTATCCTTTCGGATCTAAATGCAATTTAGAGCTTAAAGGATGATATTTGAACTTACTGTTTTTTCTGCCCTCTGGAGAGAAGTCTTTTCTAGTGAATAACTTATTAAGAAATATAATTGACAGAGTTGCAAAACTTAAAGCAAATAATCCAGTGTAAAAAATATTTTGTGACTTTTGTGTTTGTGTAACAGAGTGATTAAATCCCCAAGCCGAATTGCTTTCTGACCATGAAGGCAAGTGGTATCTAAAAAGGCCTCTAGAAAAGGGATATTTGTGTTTATTCTTTGCGCTATAACAGACATTATACAAATATGCTACCAGTTTTTATCTATGACTCTTCTCATTGTAATCCATTCCCATCTCTGTAAAGAAAAAGAAATGGTGGGACAAAAGTAGAAAAATCAAAGTAACCAAGCTGAACATTTAAAAAAAATTCAGCTTAGGCTAAATGATAGAGTGTTTATAACAAATACAAACTTACTTCTTGCCCAAATTTTATCTAGGAAAGGAAATCAAATTAGTAATGTCTTTTTCCATCTCTATTGAACTATCTGTATTTGATAGACGAGAGTCTAGACCTCATTTTTCTTTGCTACTGTTATTCTGAGACTTGTAGCTGCGCCTTCCCATAGGCCTCCTTTCCCGGCTCCTAACAGGCTTTCGGTCATGATTGAGGCCAGGTCATGTTGGGAGTAGGAATCCAGTGCTTCCCAGGGTTACATTTTCTCAACAAAAATGACATTCAAAAATAAAGCTTTTGACTTCTGCTTCTTGCCAGAAGCTCACTCCTGCCTGAAAAATAGATAAATTAGACTTCATCATAATGAAAACTTTTGCTTTGTGAAAGACACTGTTAAGAGACTGTAAAGACAAGCTGTAGACTGGGAGTAAATATTTAGAAATCACATATTCAAGGAATGACTTGTCTCCAGATTACATAGTGAACTCTCAAAACTCATTAAGAAAACAACCCAATTAAAAAATGGGGAAAGGATTTGAGCAGATACTTAACCCAGGAAGATATACAGATGGTAAATAAATATATGAAAGAACACACTCAATGTCATTAATCATTAGGGAAATGCAAATTGAGATTAAAATGAGATACCATTACATGCCTCTTTGAATATCTCCCTCCCCGACCCCCCCAAAAAAAAATAACTCCAAAAGAAACAAAAACAATGACCATGCCAGGTACTGGTGAGGATGTGTAAAATTGGAAGCAATTTGGAAAACATTTTGGCAGTTTTATAAAACATTAAACATATACCTACCATTTGACCCAGTTATTTCTATTTAGTGTATAGCATAGAATGAAAGTATATGGCTACACAAAGATTTGTGCACAAATGCTCGTAGCAGTTTGAATTGTAATAGCCTAAAATGAAACAGATCAAATGTTCATCAAAAGGTGGACAGATACACCATTTGTGATATATCAACACAGTGGAACACTTTAGCAATAGAAAGGAATGAACTGTTGATACAGGCAAGCACATGGATGAGTCTCAAAATTATTAAGCTGGGAGAAAGCAGCTGGATATAAAGAGGACACACTGTATGATTCAATTTATATAAAATTCCAGAAAATACAAACTGATCTGAAATGCAAAAAAAGGCAGATAAGTGGTTACCTGTGGGTTCTGGTGTGGTGGTGAGGGCTGGATGAAGGAATTACCAAGGGACACGAGGATTCTTTTAGGGGTAATGGAAATATTTCCTGTCTTGATTATGCCAGTGATTTCATGGGTGTATGTATATGTCAAAACTTATCAAATTATATTCTTTCAGTATGCGTAGTTTATTATATGTAAATTATACCTCAATAAAAAAGAAAACGTGAGCTCTGGAACATTCTTCCTGAGCATGATTTTCACATGATTTTTTAAACATGACTTTTATGCTCCTGCAAAATAAAAAAAGAGGCTGTGGTAATCTAAATTATTAATTACAATGCTAAAATATGGGCAGTCATTCATATCTACTTGAAATACCAATGTTTCTAAGTTTAAACTTTTCTCTTTAGGCAACCACTCTACGAGTGAGGAAATTAGAAGAAAATATTGAAGCAGAAAGAGCAGCACATTTGGAATCAAAATTTAATTCTGAAATTATTCAGGTAAAATGTTAACAGATTCTTTTGGTATGGATTTTATTAAGCTGGGGAAAATAGCATTATGTTCAGAGAACTAAGGTGTGCATTTAGAATGGGGAGCATATCGTTAAAAAGCTTTCTCTTTACTATAAGGATATTGTTGAGGATAGTCTTTACTGTATGAGAGGAGGAATTGGCACAGTACAGCCCACAGGCCAAATCTCACCACTACCTGTGCTTGTGAATTTTTGTCTTGTCTGTGGCAGCTTTTATGCTGTAGTGGCAAAGTGGAGTAGTTGTGACAGACAGCTTATGGCCTGCAAAGTTCAGAATATTTACCATCTGCCCTGTTACAGAAAGATTTGCTGATTGGAGTGTTCTTTTTCTAACAGCCATGGAATGAATTTATTTTTGAAAACACTTAAGAATATGCACCTTCATATATTGAATGTACATCCTGTGCATATCATCTATCAGTATATTAAGAGCTGAAGGTATAAATGCAAAAGAGCTTCTTTTGGGGTTTATATTTCATTACCAAAAGTATTACATAGACACAGATATACAGATAGAAATATGAAATACTAAATACTCCAGGAACATAATAAAGAGAAAGATTAAATCTAAGAGGAGAATTAAATGAAGGCATCCTAAGGAAAGTGTCTTTTTCCCTTTCTTAGTGAATTGGAAGAAATTTCTAAGTGAAATGACACATTTTAAGTGGGGCTTGGCAAACTACTGCCCATGAATCGTGTCTGACCTGCAGATACAGCCTATGTTGTAAATAAAATTTTACATAAATTTCCATGAGTCTGAGTTCTTTAATTTAATTTGGATTTTATTTTAAGCCTTAGATTTTTCCCCTGCATTAAATTTTTATTACTAGAATTTGCAGTTTCACCTTATTGTTTAAATAGGTCTTAACATAAGATGCAACTAAACTTGGAAGAATTTCATAATATATTTTTAACTTTTATCTTTAATGAAATTCCCCTTTGACCTGCAGAATTCTCAAACCCATGTATTTGAGTGTGTCTGTATGTTAAACAAACTTATGTAAGTTAATTTTTATGTAAACTTATGTAAGTTAATTTTTTAAAATTATTAGATCACTCAAAATGTTATCAATAAGCAATAAAACTGAAGTTTTAAATTCATGAAAGAAGTATGATTCAAAATTAAGTTTTTTTATTGTGCCTATATCACCAGGAATGTATAGTTAATAGGTCTAAAAATGAAAATTATTACATGTATTTTTTTACTTATATAGTTGAAAATTAATATTTAGATCTTAGTGCTATGACTTAGAAAAGAGCAAAAGTTATATTTGAACCTTATATCTATGAAATATCGACAAGTGTTTTCAGTGAGGTATGCCTAGTAAAATTTAGTCTTAGACTTGATTAAAAGGAAATGAGACCACTGAATAGTTGTAATTAATCACCACCTTTTAAACTGTAGTTAAATATATGTCTAAAGTATTCTGTTGTTAAATTCGTTTGGATACTGTGCCATAACAATGAGGAAGTAGAGTGAGAGGAGTTGTCTCAAGACTATTCACTTGAAGTCAACTTTTCTTTCCATTGGATTGGTTTGTCATTTGTGACTGAGTGCTTATTTTCTGAAAGAAGATAGCAATGTAGTCAGAAGAAAATGTTTCCTATATTTGTTTTACTTGTAAACATTGTATTTAGAAAAAATGCAAAGAAAAATAAAGTTTAAAAGACCAAATTTGAAAATTTACAAAGTTGTATCTATATATCCAGTCTACATCTATTCCTTACTTTAGTATAAAAATAATATTTTAAATATTCCAAAATATGTTTGTGTAATTAGAAATAAGATTTCTGATGGTTATTAATTGTATAGATTAATTTATGAGCCATTTTCATATTGTCCTAGGCTGTATTTCTAGGTGAACTCACCTTTCCTAACTCAGGTTGTCTTTTGCCATCTCTGAGAATCTTATCCTACACAGAGCAGGACACATGATCAGGCTCTTCTCTGATTATATGGCCCTTTGTGTATGCTACTGTGACAGGAGGCACTTATCATGTGCTATTGTGGTCTGTCTTCTCCTTAAGACTCAGTTCCTCACAAACTAAGATTTTGTAGCTTTTCATGATTATTATATATATCTTGAGCACTAGCACAACACATTAAGGGCTTAATAAATATTTATCTAAACATTTATTAAATAAATATATTAAATAAATATTACCTCATATCTTTTTAGTGACCCTTTAAAGTAGGTAGTATATTGTTATTGTTGTTATTGCTGTTTACTGTTTACAGATGAGGAACCTCAGGTTTTTGGAATTTCAGTAATATGCCCAAGCTTACATAAGTTAATTTGCAGAGCTGTGATTCAAACCCAAGTCTTACGTTTCTAAAGCTCGTTTTCTATTTAATGTGAAGCATTTTTTCTAACGCCTGTTTTTGAACTTTAACAAACTTCTTTATTTTTAACTTCATTTTACCTGTAAAGTTCAAAAATCAAAACGATATAAACAATCGAGAACTCTTGCTTTCATTCCTCTCCCCCCAATACTCTACCCTCTTGTCTGTTACTTATTTTTATTTTATCCATTTATTTACTAAAAATATAGCATATTATACACTATGATCTTTTCAATATATATTAACACTACATAGAGAACTTCCTTTTAAAAAGTTGTTTTGCCTCCTTTTTACAGATACGTATTGTTCTTTTATGAGAATGCACTTTATCTATTCTGCTGTTGATATCCATAGGGACTCTAGTTTTTAAAAATGTTATATTATGTAAAATTTCAAGTATATGCAAGAACAGAATAGTAAAATGAACTTCCCATGTACCTGTCACTTAGCTTTAAGATTTTTACCTTAGGCCAGCTGTGTTTTATCTATTACCCTCCTCCACTCCCTACCCCCACATTATTTTGAAGCAAGTCCTAGATATCATATTACTACACCCATAAATATTTTAGTCAAATATTATTATTCGATGATGAAAAATTTACTTTCTACAGTAAGAAATCTCCAGGAATAAAAAGGTCTTGTTAACTTTCTTAGGCTTATAAAGATGTTCATGTAATGATGTTTTTCATGTAAGGAAAAGAATAGTTTTTTTGTTTTCAAAAACCACAATTTATTATGTTTTATAAAAGAAGCATCCAAATGGATTAATAGATCAAAATTAGGCACTCGGATGGGACAGGTTATATCATATCTGCCTATCCTTTTCCATAGCACAGTTGAGTCTTTTTTTTCCCACTCTTCCTCCCTTGCATTAAACATGTTGAGAAAGGGAATAAACTGTCTTTTGATTATTTTCCTGACTTTTGTTTATTTTGTTTATTTTAAACCAAAGCAGAAAGAAAGGTTTGGATGAATGATAATCTGCTATTGATAAAGTATTCTACTCATTTTGATATTGATGCTAGCATTTCCCTGCTTGCTTTTAATTACTTCTCTGTCACCTTGTAGTTACGGATTCGAGACCTTGAAGGAGCTTTGCAGGTAGAAAAGGCCAGCCAAGCAGAAGCTGTTGCTGATTTGGAAATGATTAAGAATGAATTCAAAGAAGTTGAAAGCGCATATGAGCGAGAAAAGCATAATGCACAAGAGAGCTTTGCAAAACTAAGTTTGTAAGTGTTTTACTGTAAAATTCTCTAAATTAATATATAGAGCTTATGAAACCTATATAAATATGAATGTGTAGTATTTTAGATATAGCTCCTATTAATGTCAGTGGTAGATTGAGGGTAAAGGATTTCATAAAACATAACTATACTTCATTGTACAGGTAAATATAGAAATACTCTTTTGGGTTTTGAAGTATAATGGCTATTCCAAGTAGTCTCAGAAATGCAGTTCTTACAATAGAAAATAAATATATTAATGTATTTTATATTATATCTGCTGAGGTAGTATAGTATCTTTAAAGACCTTGATTTTCTAGGCCACTTAAAATGGTCTGTGTGGAGATGGATAATATTTGAAATTTTCTCAAACTGTGAAAATAATAGTAGGAATAATACTGCTGCTAGTGGCTAGCATGCACTGTGTCTCCCTTCATGCCTCGCATTGCATGGTTTCATTTAATTTATACAACACCCTATGTGGTAGCTACTCTTTTTATCTCTTTTACAGGTGTGGAAATTGAGGCTTAATGAGGGTAAGGACACACAGCTAGTAAGTGGCAAAGTCAGGATCTTTCTGACTCCTACTGATTTTAACCTTTTTCAGTTCAAAAGCCGTTCATTTAGAACATTCTGTGCAATGCTTTAAGAAGTTTATAATTTTTAAATGTTTCCAAAAAGAAGTCACTAGTAGACATTTTAAACCATTTCCCCCTATTTCCCCACCACTGGTATGTGACATGGTAATAGGTTGGTAATTAGTTATATATTTATTTTTAATGTTTGTTTTTATTTATGACAAATTGATCATGGTTTGCCATTTACAGTAGTAATATAAAGATTCCTTTTAAAAATCTTCATTTAACTTAAGTGAGTTAAAGAAGACTATTATTTAAACTGATTATTACGAGTGTGGCAAAAGTCATAAAGATGGCACTTGGAAGACAAAAGTTTGAAAAAATTTATAACTTTTTAACTATATTACCTTTATTAGTAATGCTTATAATATTTTCAATTTCCTTGCTTCCTCTAGGATGACTTAAATGACATTCTATGAATGTTATTCTAAGGTCTTCCTTTATTACCTTTGAACCATTGCCTGAGTCTGCACATTTACGTATAAATATGTTTCAAGGACCCTTATATAGAATGTTGCTTTGATTAGAACCTACAACTGAAACAGTAAGAAGTCAGATCATACTTGCAGCAATTAAAGCTTTCCAATAGTGAAGGGCTTCTTTGGGGAACTAGTGAGCTGCTTGCCTTGGGAAGTTCAGAAGAGAGGGCGGATGATTCTCTGTCATGGATATTGAAGAAGAGAGTCCTGCCGAGACTGGACTAGAGAAATCTTAAGATACTTGCTAACAATTAATTAAGCTCTAAGATTTTAACCCATGTACTTTTCTAATTGGATTCCAGAGCAATTTTTGTTTTGTTTTGCTGTTATTTGTGTTTTTGTGCTTAAAAAATTTTACTTGAATTTTGTATTCCCATAAGCACCAACTAACAGTTCTAAATATAGTAGCAAACTTGTATGTAGTCTAAAAGTAAAAAACTGTTAAGGTCATGAAAAATAGCAGTTTTGTGCTCATGGCTCTCTACCGCCAGTTTCTACTCCTTCGAGACCACTTTTAATTCTTATTGCTGTTTCTTCATTTAACTTCATATTTCTAAATAACATTCATATTCTACCATCGTTTTTCATTCTCCACCTTTGATATTATTTATCTATTTATCTCCATTGTACCTTTCTTCCACACACTTACTCATTCCCTCTTCCCATCTTTTAATAGGGTTTTATTTTGGGGTATTTTTTTTCTACAACTTTTTTTGGGTAGCTCATCTTTGTTTTTCATTATAGCCCATGTTATTATATTCTGTTTTGTGTGTTGTCTGTCTTCTTATGTGGAGAGGAACTTTGTTTCATTCATTGCTGTCTCCAAATGCCTAGAATAGTGCCTAGAACATAAGAACTGTTAAATAATGATTTGCTGAATCATCAAATAAATGAATAGTTAATAATTACCTCATTTTAAATTGGATTAGTTTATGTACGCCAATCACTGTTATTCTTTTTTTTAAATTTATTAATTTTAATTAGTTTCAAGTATACAGTACATTGGTTACACATCTATATAGTTCATAAAACAATCCCCCTCACTTGCTCCCTCCCTCCTCTGACCCTCCATGTAGCCAACATATTAATGCTAACTGCATTCCCTATGTTATGCTCCCCATCCCCGAGACCATCCATCAGCTACTACTTTGTACTTCTTCAACCCTTCACTCCATTCTCCCAGCCCCCCGCAAACTCCCTCCCCTCTATCCGTCACCAAATTGTCCACTATATTTATGAGTCTGTTTTTGATTAATTTGTTCTCTTTATGCCTTAGATTCTGCATATAAGTCAAATCATATAGTGTTTATCTTTCTCTGTCTCACTTAAATACCTTCTAGGTTCATCAAAGTAATATCTTTTTCCATCGTCTTCCTTTTAGTCTGTGTGTGTCTTTTAATCTGAAGTAAGTCTTTTGTATTTTTTCTTAAAGAAGTCCCTCCAACATTTCCTGTAATGCTGGCTTGGCAGTAATAAATTCCTTGAGGTTATTTTTGTCTGGGAACCTCTTTATCTTTCCTTCAACTCTAACTGATAGCTTTGCTGGATAAAGTATCCTTGGTTGTAGATCCTGGGTCTTCATCCTGTCTAATATTTTTTCCCAAGCCCTTCTGTTCTGCATAGTTTCTTTTGAGAAATCAGCTGCCAGTCTTATGGGTGTTCCCTTATAAGTAACTATCTGTTTTTCTCTTGTTGTTTTTAATATATTTCTTCAAACAGCTGTTCAATATCTTGATTTTCTCCAGTTAGGCCAATAGGACAGATATTTGGACCCTTAATAGTGTCCCATTTACTCCTTAAATTATTTTTATAGTCTTGGCATCTTATCGCTTGCCATTCCGATTGAATGTCCTTGGCTTTCTCGTCCTCTAGATAGGGCATTTGATCTTTTTCTTTATTCACCTCGTTTATTCCTTTGTTTATTCCATTTAATATACTTCTCATCTCAGATAACGTGTTCTTCATTTCAGGCTGGTTCCCTTTTATAATTTCCATTTCTGTTTTTATGTTTTTTATCTCTTTGTTGAAGTTCTCACTGAATTTATCTATACTTTCCAAAAGTTCACTGAGCATCTTTATAACCAGTGTTTTGAACTCTGCATCTGTTAGATTATTTGACCCTATTATATCTGGATCTCTGTTCTCTTCTCTCACATGGTCTCCACTTCTTTGTCTTCTCGTTTTGGCTGCCTTTCTATGTCTGTTTCTATGTACTAAGCAAAGCTCCTAAGTCTCCTGGTCTTACTAGTGTGGATTTGTGAAGTAGGTAGCCAGTGGCACAGTCCTGAGAGGGGTTCAGCTGCAGGCCAAATTTAGCCCAAGCATCTACCCCTCTGGGGCCACCTGTTAAGATTCAGCGAGCAATCCACAAATGCTGTGCTTATAGTTACCTCAAAAGACCACACCAGACACTGAGGCCAGCTGCCTCCAGTGTGAGTCTAGGTGCTGCTCAGTGGGGAGCACCTGACTCGCTGATGATATACCTGGATGTGGCTTGGGTGGTGCTCAGCAAGGAGTACCTGACTTGCTGAGGATATACCTGGATGTGGCTTGGGGGGAGGCAGGGTTTCAGGGAATCCTCTGGGCAGAGCGACCTCTGTTATCTAGTTTGATGACATCATGCTATGGTGGTGCTGTTTCCGGCACACTGGTATGTGGGAGGGCTCAACAGGGAACAATAGATACTTGCTGGCGCTTCTGCATAGAGTGAGTCTCCCTTTCGCTCTCACTCCAACAATGTCTCCCTGTAAGTCTCTGGTGCCTGCTGCATGCAGCCAAATCGGCACTGGTGCTCAGAAAGAGCAGGTCTGTCACTGTGAAAATCCACTCGCGGACGCTGCCCCTTTAAGAGACGTCTGCCATTGCCGCTGCCCCCATCTCAGCTGATGGAGACCAGGCAGCCCCGTGTCCTCGCCCCATCTTACCTTCTGCCATTGCAGGGTGATTTCTTAGATTTCTCTCTAGTTGTGTGGCTTGTTTCTCTAGATCCCAGGCGATTTTTCCTTGCTGCTGCTCTTTGTTTCCATCACAACTTTGATTTGGTTGCCGGAGGGATGAACAGAGCTTCTATCATCTACACCATTTTTTTCCTTTTCACTAAGTTATTCTTAAACGCTCTAACAGAACTGAAAATCTCACATTGTGTTTTTACACTTCAGATTTTATCTTATTTAAGTTTTCTTAGAGAAAACTTAGAATACTGGACTTCTCACTCTACCTTTTCCATTCTGGATGAGTTGTTTTTTAGGCTCCCTTTTCACAGTCATCCTGGGGTTTTCCTTCAACATCATCCTTGGAATTCCTTCTGCTTCTCTTCTATGTTGGATCTCTTGTTGCTGATTTTGTGTCTTTTTCCTCGTTTGATTTACTTTCTTGCAAAATAGCTTCTTGAGAAATTATACAACAGAGGAAAAACTTGAAAACTTGCATTCTGAAAATGTCTTTTTTTTTTTTTTTGATATTTACCTTCTTTCATAGTTCAGTTGGCTATTCATTCAGTTCAAGTGTCAAGAATTCTGAAGTCATTTGGTGGATTATCTATAGCAAATTTGAAACTAGAATACTTCCAAGCTACCTTTTATCAGATGTCCATGCAAGAATGTAAATACAATTTAATGCCAGCCTGAGCGAAATTTAAATAGGGAGGAAGATCTTTTGAAGAGAAATTCATGTGTTTTCTCAGTGAATATGAATGATTTTGATTATTCTTGCTTTTGGATTTTCCATGCTACCACATCAGTTCCATTTGTATAGACATTCAGGAATAAAGCATTTATTCTGTTTCTTATGTTATACTTTAACTTGTAAATTGTTTGATAGGTCTGTTTTTTGTCTTGAGGCAGTTTCTGAACTAATTGAACTGTGGTGGGTGGGTTTTGTTCATCAAAAACAATGATGAGGCCAAATCAACACAGTGTATCTTGCTTATAACATTGGGCAGAGTACAAATATCTGCTAACAAGGGAGGATTGTTCATTTAGAGTCTTTCATTTAAGAATGGCAATCCTTTTTATTTGAAAAAATGAGGTTACTTGTAAATGCCTATTGGCTTGGAATCATATTATATAGTACATCTGCCACTTGTCTTAAAGGTGTATAATAGGACTTGATAAAAGCATATTTGAAAAACTCATTCTGACACTAACTTTTCAGATTAGAAAGAGAGTATTTCTCCAAAAACAAGAAACTAAATGAAGAGATTGAAGAGCAGAAGAAAGTAATTATAGACCTTTCAAAGAGACTCCAGTATAATGAAAAAAGTTGCAGTGAATTACAGGAAGAACTTGTAATGGTAAGGATAAAAAAGAAAACCCTATGGCAATTATTTTATTGGGTCAAATTTGATGTTTAACAAGTTTTTTCCTCACAACATGCCACGAGATAGCAGTATGAAAGTAATTTTAGTGACATTGTTATAAAATTTCAAAACTGGAGATGCTGATTACAGCTAAGACGTATATAATAAAACATTTTTTTTGGAATAATTGGGAAAACTAATTGAATTAGTGAAAACTCTGAACATTGTAGAATGTTTCAAATTTTATTCAGTGGTTTTTACTTATCTCTTTATTTTAAGGTGCATAAAACATCATTACCTAGGTGGATGAGGGATCAGGATTTATAATTAATAGATTTAATGATTTCAAAGACTCTTTTTTGTAATAATTTTATACCTGATCGCTTTGTCCCCCACTCCCCAATAATCTAGCTTTCACATCATCACCAAACTCATCTTTCTAAATATTGATCTGTTTTTGTTACCCTTTATTCAAAAAACGATCAAGGTCTCCCTCTTGCTTTCAAAGTGAAGTCCATCTTCTTGTCTAAGGCCCTTTCCTTGGGCTCCATGTTAACTTTTCCAGCTTCTTCTTTTGCCATTTCTTTGCCTCAGCCATATGATAGTACTCTTGGCTTCCTAAACATGTTATATATATCGTATCATCTTGCTTTTATTAAGGCTGTTCATTTTTTTTTGACCCACATTGACTAAAACGCTCCTTCTCTTCTTTTCCATTAGCAAATACCTATATATCCTGTAACATCTCTCTCTGA